CGTTTAATTCACGTTAGTACGTCGCATAGGCGTGCGTTATCCGGATTAAAAGCATTCATTTCTACTTAGTTCAGTACTTCGTAAAATCGCATGCTATCTTTCAAAATAGCGTTTAATTCACGTTAGTACGTCACACAGGCGTGCGTTATCAGGATTAAAAGCATTCATTTCAACTTAGTTCAATACTTCGGATCAGCGCATGCTATCTTTAAAAATAGCGTTTAATACACGTTAGTACGTCGCATAGGCGTGCGTTATCCGGATTAAAAGCATTCATTTCTACTTAGTTCAGTACTTCGCATCATCGAATGCTATCTTGAAAAAAAGTGTTTAATTCACGTTAGTACGTCGCATAGGCGTGCGTTATCCGGATTAAAAGCATTCTTTTCTACTTAGTTCAGTACTTCGTATCAACGAATGCTATCTTGAAAAAAAATGTTTAATTCACGTTCGTATGTCGCAAAGGCGTGCGTTATCCGGATTAAAAGCATTCTTTTCTACTTAGTTCAGTACTTCGTATCATCGAATGCTATCTTGAAAAAAAATGTTTAATTCACGTTCGTATGTCTCAAAGGCGTGCGTTATCCGGATTAATAGCATTCATTTCAACTTAGTTCAGTACTACGCATCCTCGCATGCTATCTTGAAAAAAAGTGTTTAATTCACGTTAGTACGTCGCACAGGCGTGCGTTATCCGGATTAAAAGCATTCATTTCTACTGTTACGTTTTGAGATTTCGTTGTTACGTCTCGATCGTAACTTCTCACGTATTTATTTGTTACGCAATTGTAACTTCTCTCTATTTCTTTTTCAGGGCAACCTGCCAAGCCGGCTATACCCTAGGACGCCGAGAGACTAAGAATCTTTTGCGCTTCTTTCTGGAGAGGGATTGACGATGGGAAATAAATTAGGTGCGTTGAACCTGACCCAATTTATCCTTTTTGATCTGTTTTCTTTTATTAGTTTACTTCCTTAGAGCTTTACAAATTTTTTATTATTGTTATTATTGTTATTATTTGACAGTTGTAGATAGTGTATATCGTTATACGTATAGATGTGTGTATGTTGTTAATGTTCTTCTCTATAGCATTTCTAAGGCAATATCTAGATATAGTTATTATTTGCGGTTGTTGAAGAAATTATCTCGCTGCAAGTATTCGTAGATCTCGATAAAATCTTCGTCTGTTAGTCCTGCGAGGGGTTGGATACTGCTTGGTAAGACTAGGTCCTCTGGTTCCGGGTAGAAATTTGGTTCAGGGGGATCCAGAACTTGACCTGAGTTGGATGGACCAGCCTCAGGTTCTGTGCGTTGTTCTATGGGTCTTCGTTCTTCCGGTATGGAAGGAAGATCTTCCGGTGTCCTGACCGGCGAGTAGCTGGGATTAGATGAATCCTGGATGGGGGAGTAATTGGGCGATGGCGGCCTGGCTCTGGGCTGTTGTTCCTCTTGAAGAACCGCTGGAGGGTTTCGGGGAGGACGATAAGGGTATGCGCGGGAGGGCGCGAAACTACGCACTGGAGAGTACCTTGTTACTCTGCTTGTTAAGTCGTTCTCGTCGGCAAACAACTGACGAGCTGTAGGGAGCCTAAGTACCGACCGGGAGGCACGCCTGCGGCGTATACCCGCGGCACGGAGGGGAATTTCGCGTCCAACGGAAGAAGTTCGGCGGGGGTTAACCATCTACCGAGGGATTATGACTATTTAGTATGTTTGATGCGATTGATTTAACACAAAAGGGGTTTACTTACGATGATGCGTAGAAAGGTACCTGTTAAGATGAATGGTTTTATAAGGTAAATGTAGTCACAGCAAGGTGGTTCATAGAGTTAAGACGAATAATACGGCTTAATGGATTATTGTGAGATAAACGAACGTAGATTATGATGGTATATCTCGCTCGTTCTCATATAATGGTTGAAACGTTCGGCTGTATACAGTTCATTGGGGTACAGCAATTAACGATTTATTTAATATATCTTGAATTTTCAGGGGCATGTGGTTGCACCGAGAGGTCCGGAGATTCAGGGGGTACAGACAAGGATACGGGTAAGAGCGGCTGGCTTACTTCAGATAAGTATAAAATTCATAAAATGTTTTCGATAGTTAACTTGTAAGCCAGTGCATAAATTCTATTATTTCGACAGATCCTCTAGGAGCGAGTCTTAGATTCTGAGTCTAGTATCGATGTGCAAGACGTCACGTCACAGCGGCACAGGATCCACGGAGAAATTCTTTCAGAGAAGCTCTCCGTGAAAGCGGCAGAGGAGTAGAATTTGCTACTCAATGCACATCGAGTGACTAACTCGAACGACGCTACACTCTAGGATACGCTTTGAACGTTCTCAGAGGGTCGGTTGAAATTTAAATTATTCAACTCGAAAGAAAAATTTAAAGTCTGTATACGGACAGGTAGGATTCGGAGAAGATTGTCATACAACGAATGATAATTTATTTAGCATATTTTGAATTTCCAGGAGCATGCGGCTGCACCGAGAGGTCTGGAGATTGTTACGTTTTGAGATTTCGTTGTTACGTCTCGATCGTAACTTCTCACGTATTTATTTGTTACGCAATTGTAACTTCTCTCTATTTCTTTTTCAGGGCAACCTGCCAAGCCGGCTATACTCTAGGACGCCGAGAGACTAAGAATCTTTTGCGCTTCTTTCAGGAGAGGGATTGACGATGGGAAATAGATTAGATGCGTTGAACCTGACCCAATTTATCCTTTTTGATCTGTTTTCTTTTATTAGTTTGCTTCCTTAGAGCTTTACAAATCCTTTATTATTGTTATCATTGTTATTATTTGACAGTTGTAGATAGTGTATATTGTTATACGTATAAATGTGTGTATGTAGTTAATGTTCTTCTCTATAGCATTTCTAAGGCGATATCTAGATATGGTTATTATTCGCGGTTGTTGAAGAAATTATCTCGCTGCAAGTATTCGTAGATCTCGATAAAATCTTCGTCTGTTAGTCCTGCGAGGGGTTGGATACTGCTTGGTAAGACTAGGTCCTCTGGTTCCGGGTAGAAATTTGGTTCAGGGGGATCCAGAACTTGACCTGGGTTGGATGGACCAGCCTCAGTTTCTGTGCTTTGTTCTATGGGTCTTCGTTCTTCCGGTATGGAAGGAAGATCTTCCGGTGTCCTGACCGGCGAGTAGCTGGGATTAGATGAATCCTGGATGGGGGAGTAAATTGGGCGATGGCGGCCTGGCTCTGGGCTGGTGTTCCTCTTGAAGAACCGCTGGAGGGTTTCGGGGAGGACGATAAGGGTATGCGCGGGAGGGCGCGAAACTACGCACTGGAGAGTACCTTGTTACTCTGCTTGTTAAGTCGTTCTCGTCGGCAAACAACTGACGAGCTGTAGGGAGCCTAAATACCGACCGGGAGGCACGCCTGCGGCGTATACCCGCGGCACGGAGGGGAATTTCGCGTCCAACGGAAGAAGTTCGGCGGGGGTTAACCATCTACCGAGGGATTATGACTATTTAGTATGTTTGATGCGATTGATTTAACACAAAAGGGGTTTACTTACGATGATGCGTAGAAAGGTACCTGTTAAGATGAATGGTTTTATAAGGTAAATGTAGTCACAGCAAGGTGGTTCATAGAGTTAAGACGAATAATACGGCTTAATGGATTATTGTGAGATAAACGAACGTAGATTATGATGGTATATCTCGCTCGTTCTCATATAATGGTTGAAACGTTCGGCTGTATACAGTTCATTGGGGTACAGCAATTAACGATTTATTTAATATATCTTGAATTTTCAGGGGCATGTGGTTGCACCGAGAGGTCCGGAGATTCAGGGGGTACAGACAAGGATACGGGTAAGAGCGGCTGGCTTACTTCAGATAAGTATAAAATTCATAAAATGTTTTCGATAGTTAACTTGTAAGCCAGTGCATAAATTCTATTATTTCGACAGATCCTCTAGCAGCGAGTCTTAGATTCTGAGTCTAGTATCGATGTGCAAGACGTCACGTCACAGCGGCACAGGATCCACGGAGAAATTCTTTCAGAGAAGCTCTCCGTGAAAGCGGCAGAGGAGTAGAATTTGCTACTCAATGCACATCGAGTGACTAACTCGAACGACGCTACACTCTAGGATACGCTTTGAACGTTCTCAGAGGGTCGGTTGAAATTTAAATTATTCAACTCGAAAGAAAAATTTAAAGTCTGTATACGGACAGGTAGGATTCGGAGAAGATTGTCATACAACGAATGATAATTTATTTAGCATATTTTGAATTTCCAGGAGCATGCGGCTGCACCGAGAGGTCTGGAGATTGTTACGTTTTGAGATTTCGTTGTTACGTCTCGATCGTAACTTCTCACGTATTTATTTGTTACGCAATTGTAACTTCTCTCTATTTCTTTTTCAGGGCAACCTGCCAAGCCGGCTATACCCTAGGACGCCGAGAGACTAAGAATCTTTTGCGCTTCTTTCAGGAGAGGGATTGACGATGGGAAATAGATTAGATGCGTTGAACCTGACCCAATTTATCCTTTTTGATCTGTTTTCTTTTATTATTTGCTTCCTTAGAGCTTTACAAATCCTTTATTATTGTTATCATTGTTATTATTTGACAGTTGTAGATAGTGTATATTGTTATACGTATAAATGTGTGTATGTAGTTAATGTTCTTCTCTATAGCATTTCTAAGGCGATATCTAGATATGGTTATTATTCGCGGTTGTTGAAGAAATTATCTCGCTGCAAGTATTCGTAGATCTCGATAAAATCTTCGTCTGTTAGTCCTGCGAGGGGTTGGATACTGCTTGGTAAGACTAGGTCCTCTGGTTCCGGGTAGAAATTTGGTTCAGGGGGATCCAGAACTTGACCTGGGTTGGATGGACCAGCCTCAGTTTCTGTGCTTTGTTCTATGGGTCTTCGTTCTTCCGGTATGGAAGGAAGATCTTCCGGTGTCCTGACCGGCGAGTAGCTGGGATTAGATGAATCCTGGATGGGGGAGTAAATTGGGCGATGGCGGCCTGGCTCTGGGCTGGTGTTCCTCTTGAAGAACCGCTGGAGGGTTTCGGGGAGGACGATAAGGGTATGCGCGGGAGGGCGCGAAACTACGCACTGGAGAGTACCTTGTTACTCTGCTTGTTAAGTCGTTCTCGTCGGCAAACAACTGACGAGCTGTAGGGAGCCTAAGTACCGACCGGGAGGCACGCCTGCGGCGTATACCCGCGGCACGGAGGGGAATTTCGCGTCCAACGGAAGAAGTTCGGCGGGGGTTAACCATCTACCGAGGGAATACGACTATTTAGTATGTTTGATGCGATTGATTTAACACAAAAGGGGTTTACTTACGATGATGCGTAGAAAGGTACCTGTTAAGATGAATGGTTTTATAAGGTAAATGTAGTCACAGCAAGGTGGTTCATAGAGTTAAGACGAATAATACGGCTTAATGGATTATTATGAGATAAACGAATGTAGATTATGATGGTATATCTCACTCGTTCTCATATCATGGTTGAAACGTTCGGCTATATACAGTCAGTTGGGGTACAGCAATTAATGATTTATTTAATATATTTTGAATTTTTCAGGGGCATGCGGTTGCACCGCGAGGTCCGGAGATTCAGGGGGTACAGACAAGGATACGGGTAAGAGCGGCTGGCTTACTTCAGATAAGTATAAAATTCATAAAATGTTTTCGATAGTTAACTTGTAAGCCAGTGCATTAATTCTATTATTTCGACAGATCCTCTAGGAGCGAGTCTTAGATTCTGAGTCTAGTATCGATGTGCAAGACGTCACGTCACAGCGGCACAGGATCCACGGAGAAATTCTTGCAAAGAAGCTCTCCGTGAAAGCGGCAGAGGAGTAGAATTTGCTACTCAATGCACATCGAGTGACTAACTCGAACGACGCTACACTCTAGGATACGCTTCGAGCGTTCTCAGAGGGTCGGTTGAAATTTAAATTATTCAACTCGAAAGAAAAATTTAAAGTCTGTATACGGACAGGTAGGATTCGGGGAAAATTGTCGTACAACGGATGATAATTTATCTAGCATATACTGAATTTCCAGGAGCATGCGGCTGCACCGAGAGGTCTGGAGATTCAAGGATACAGACGAGGATACGGGTGGAAGCGGCTGGCTTACTTCAGATAAGTATAAAATTCATAAAATGTTTTGATAGTTAACTTGTAAGCCAGTGCATAAATTCTATTATTTCGACAGATCCTCTAGGAGCGAGTCTTAGATTCTGAGTCTAGTATCGATGTGCAAGACGTCACGTCACAGCGGCACAGGATCCACGGAGAAATTCTTGCAAAGAAGCTCTCCGTGAAAGCGGCAGAGGAGTAGAATTTGCTACTCAATGCACATCGAGTGACTAACTCGAACGACGCTACACTCTAGGATACGCTTCGAGCGTTCTCAGAGGGTCGGTTGAAATTTAAATTATTCAACTCGAAAGAAAAATTTAAAGTCTGTATACGGGCAAGTAAGATTCTGGGAAAATCGTCAATAGGCCTAGAATAAATCAACCTAATATACGAAGTTATTATCAAGGTTGATTAAGAATGATTATTATTTTATTATTTCCTTACCGGATGACGGGATCAATGGATGAATGCAGGCACCGCTGCTCCTTCCCTGGGTTGCTCGACCTCGGTGAGAACCTGAAGAAGTGGCAAGGCAGCGCAGAGAATGGCCAAAGAGTCAGAGGTTGCTGGATGGTAGCACTTTATTAAAGTGTTAATGTTGATACAGCTCTCTTAATAGAGATTGAGACTAAGTCCCGAAAGAAAAAAAAAATCAGAATCGCGACTAAGTTATTTTCGAATAAGTTAAGGTGTCCGGTAGGCTTCTAGGTTTGTCCTCTTCGAGAGCTGGAGATCTGATGGGCGTAGAGAGAGCTGAGACACAGGCGAGTTAATGGCGCAGAGACACACCGGCGGCGGCGGCGGCGGCCTTATATACCTTCCTCTGGTTCGATGTTTAATGGTAGGGAGAAGAGGTGGGCCTTTTTGGTGATTGGTGGGTCGGCTGCTGGAGCTATCCCTTCCTGCTATGAGTTTGCGATGTGGTGGGTGATAGTTTTGTGGTAGGGATTGCAAGTCTTGCGTCTTAGATTTATTAAATAATTTTAGAATAGTTTTTAATAATGATTTTTAACAATCAGAATTTTTTATAATATCGTATTTATGTTATTAGAAAATTTGAGTTCGATTTATAACAATTGTTTAAATTTTAAGTGATATTTTGGTAAATTCTGATGTATTAAACCATTATTATTACAATGATTTTTACAATGGTGCGTATATAGTTAAAATTAATAATTAGTAATTAATTAATATTTAGTAAATTAATAATTAGTAATAATTAGTAAAGAAAAATTTAGCATTTGGATTGCAGATTCTAACGCAACGGATGCGAAGATGGCTTATCTCTTTTTCTAAAAATAGATATGCTGGATGTCCTTCGAAGAATGCTCACTGCATTCTTTCTCTTTATAAGACACATTAGTAACAGTAATATTTTTTAATGAATTACCTTTTAAAATTCGTTTACGTGGTTTAAATTGGCATATTACATGTATTATTCCCAGGTTTAATAATTATCTTAAGACTAATTATTGAAATTTATCATTTACAAGATATATTTTTATTTATTTAATAAAGGCTTCAACAATTAGAATTTTTGTGGTTTTATATGTATATATTTTAAAATTTTCAAAGTCGACTTTTAATGATTACTCAAGTCTATGAATAATATTTTAATAAATTCTAATGCGTTAAGCCATTATTATTACAATAAATTTTACAATAAGAATATATGGAAATTAATTATCGCTTCGCTTAATAGTTATTATGTCGCTAAAAGAAATTTTATTCTTACAGTTCTCGGAACAACGTATGAAAAAGCGGCTCGTTTTACTTCTAAGAATGATCACGACGGATGTGCTCGAAGAATTCATTGCACGCTCTACCGTGATCTTTTATTCAAGAGGTCTTTTGATTCTGACAATATTTTATTCTTTGAAGATTTTCATTTGGGCGACTTTTATATTAGCACATATATATATATATATATATATGTATAGATATGTATTCGCATATTGCTTATGAAAATTGATTTCAGCAAGTTTTTACTGAATCGTATTTAATAATCATCGTATAAGATTAATAATTATTGTATAAAATCTTGGGGTTATTAATATTAATTATTTGTTAATATTCGTAATATATATATATATATATGTTTTGTGTGCTGATTAATTTTGTCGCGGTAGCAGTCTATTATATCTCCTCCTTTGTTTTATTGTTAAATTTGTTACAAAATGTATATGCATATAGCATGCATATACATATAGGGATATTGTTGGACAAGTTAATATATATATATATCAATTTCTATCGCGACGCGTATTTATTGTATTTATACCGTTATTTTATTGAATTTGGTTATAAAATATATATGCGTATATGTAAATTTAGTCAATTTGTATGTTACATATAGTATGCGTATGTATAGGGATAATTTTGGACAAGTTAAGATATATATTTGTAAATTTCCATCGCAACGCTTATTTATTGTATTTATACCTTTATTTTATTGAGTTTGGTTATAAAATATATGTGCATATATGTAAATTTATTCGATTTATAGGTTACATATAGTATGCATATATATATAGGGAGATTTCTGGACATGTTAATATATATATGTGTCAATTTCTATCGCGACGCGTATTTATTGTATTTATACCGTTATTTTATTGAGTTTGGTTATAAAATATATATGCGTATATGTAAATTTAGTCAATTTGTATGTTACATATAGTATGCGTATGTATAGGGATAATTCTGGACATGTTAATATATATATGTGTCAATTTCTATCGCGACGCGTATTTATTGTATTTATACCGTTATTTTATTGAGTTTGGTTATAAAATATATATGTGTATATGTAAATTTATTCAATTTATATGTTACATATAGTATGCATATATATATAGGGAGATTTCTGGACATGTTAATATATATATGTGTCAATTTCTATCGCGACGCGTATTTATTGTATTTATACCGTTATTTTGTTGAGTTTGGTTATAAAATATATGTGCATATATGTAAATTTATTCGATTTATAGGTTACATATAGTATGCATATATATATAAAGGTGTATATTTTTATCTATTAATATTTGTTAATTTTTTGTCCTGACGATTGTTTATTACGTCTCTACTTTTATTTTATTGGATTTTGTTATAAAATATGTATGCATATGTGTATATGTAGTCAGTTCATATGTCACATATAGTATGCATATATATGTATATAGAGGTATATGATACTGGATAATAGTGTGATATTAATAGAAAATGCTTTGTTAATGCTTAATTATAAAAGAGAAGTCGATGTATTAATTTGGTTTGCATTCATGCGAGCGCGAATTTAGATCTTCCCTCTGCCTTTAGGTCGGGAGAGGATGTTTAAAAATTCCAATGGAGATAACGCGACGTGCTGGACTTGGCCTTGCACGCTTGTTCGACTCGTAGAGTTATACGCATAATATTCTTTGTGCAGTATTATTCGTAAGTACACATATTATTTCTCTATTTCTCTCGTGTTTTCACGTTTTATTTCTTTGACTTAATGATACATGTATATTATGCATGGTAAGAAGTTGCTGTCATTATATTCATTGTTGTAATTTTTTATTTTTATTTAATAAAGTTTTTGAATTTAGATTCTATTTTTCGAGTGTCATTTTGCACATTATGTACCTGGGCTCTATTCATTTCTCGGAAGGTTTTAGTCCTACATTATTAAATTTGCATATGTTCATATGCACGTACATATATATATATATATATATATATATATATATACGTATAAGAGTGCTCATATGTAAATGTTCGTGCATTTTACAATTGTGTATATACATTTTATATTCATAGTAGCTATAGGTGTCCATCCTTAATATTATTATTTTATTTATTCAGGCGATACTTTTGCCAGGGGGGTACCCGGTGAGTAGGAACACGAATATAGGGTGTCCATATATTTTCGTCATATGAAGACTTACTAGTAAGTAATATTCTGACATAATTATACTTAATAAGGTTTGGTATTATGAAATTTTGTCATTAAAGTACTTGAAAAAGGGGGATTATTATAGTTGAAAACTTTTTATATGAAGTGTTAATATTTTATAAGGCTTGGTACATGCATTCATATATAGAAGGGTGTGATCGTAAATGTTCATGGTTGATTTTTGATGATGTTCATTGGTCTTATTCTGATTTTTTAATTATTTTAATCTAAATTTTATATTATTTTGTTCATTTATGCTAGTTGGTTTTTCTTTCTTTTCATTGGCTCATGTGTATATGCCTTAAGCATATAGATGCTATCCATTTTGTTATACTTAATGCTTTGCAAATTTTTATAAAATATTGACAGCCTCGTGTTAGAAATTATTATTCTTATGACCAAATATTATTTTACATTAATTTTTCAGGCATCCAGGAGGGGGGTCATGTGACTTCGTCATATAAGGTATTCTTATTTGATTTTCAGGTAAGATCACTTTAAATTATTATTTGTGTTATGGGCCGCTAGTATTTGGTTAAATTTCGTTATTAGCTTATTATAAGTGAATATTTTATTTGTTAAGGTCTTATTATTCATTTATTATTGGTTATAAGAGTGGATGCATATATATATATATACATATATATATATATATATTCATATGTATAATTGTTAGAATTATTTTGTAGAATTTGAAGCTAGATTTTACTACCAAAATTTTGTTTCTGAAATTTTCTTATCGTTAATATTTTTATTAATTTATGGTCTAAGAACATATATTCATTTTTATTTGTTTTTAGGTGTCAACAGGTTTAGCAAGAAAAACAAGCAGTGCTGAATTAAAATGTTGATGGTCAAGGATATATTATTATTTCTAAGGGTAAGTCTTATTAAAATTTATGCAAATTCATTATTGTTATTATTATTGTTATTAGTGTTATTATTATTATTTGCATTTAAGCAATTTCAATTTTAATCATAGAGAATTATTAGTACCATATAATTTATTAGTTTTATCAATTGTTAAATTTTGGTTATTATCTTACGTTTTTATTTATAATTTTGTCTTTACAAGTTTCATAGGATATTTATTAAATATTCATTGTTAGTTGGGGATTAATATATATATATCTTGTAATTATTCAATGGCACTTAAATTATATTATTATAAATATTTTAACATTTATTATTCTTGTATTTGTTATGTTATCCTTGTGACGATATTAAGTCGGATACTAGTAATTTTGATTTTAATGATATTATTTAGAGGGAGAGTTCGTTTGATATTTATACGATTTTGTTTTGTATTTCGATTATTAGTATCGCGATATTATTTAGTGCATAGCTATTATTTATTTGGTTTTATGATTTATAGGTTATACTGGGAGCAGTATATCGATGGTCAATGGAAAATAAAATATTATCGTCGTGAGGGGTTACATCTATATACCCAATATGTTGGAATTATTATCCCAGAGATGTATACGAGAGCGTTTTCACCCAAGTTTGGACGTCATTTTTTTGATGAATTAGTCGACTAGTGTGGTGATCTACTTGGTCATGGTATCATATTATATTATTTTTATAATTCTATTGTAAAAGATCTCGAAGTTACAACACTTTTGTTTGGTAAATTTGATTGTTAGCATCATATTTATACTTCTAGTGAGTAGGGACTGTTATTTTAGAACTATATACGGGAGCATATTAGGACGTGTACTTATTTTGATTAATTAATCGATTAGTACGTTGATCTACTTGGTAATGGGATCACAATTATGCCCTTAGTATATCTCTATTGTAAAAGATATCGAAGTTACAAACATTTTAAATTTTTGTTTTTGGGGTTGCCTTTAAAATTTTACTGCTAGAATAATCACCGGGGAAGCTACTAGAAGGTCGTCAGATTTTTATCGTTAATCTTTATTCGTTTAATGAATTATCCTAACAAAGTCTACGCCAAGTATTGGCTTTATTTTGTATTAATTGTTTT